TACGATGCTCCACTTCCTTGTGGATCAGACCTTTAGGTCAAAAGCTCGGAGTGTGGCCCCCTAAGAAAACCACGTGCTTCGGTCTGGGCATTCGGGCATCATCACAGCCCACACACAAATATGATGAAATGTCGATATTTATGGAAAATACTTATCTTGCTTCAACTAACAATCAAACGATTCACGTTATTATTATTACTATTATTGTTATTATTATTATTAATATTTTTTATGTCATTTATTCACTCTATTTTATTCCCACTTTATGTACCCTTATCTTTCGACTTATACAGCAGCTCGCCTATGGTGGTAACTCGGTTCTATCTAAACGTTCTCGAGTCACTGTCTGGTTGAAAATTGTATGCTACCACCAAATACGAATACTGAAGCAGTTTTTCTGAAACCACATGCATTATTCAAACTGTCTACCTTCAACGTTCGCATACTAATGCATGTCGGACAACAGATAGGGCTGGCTATGTCTTTGTGTGGCGCATATATATTTGGTGACCTCTTGTAACAATATTTAAGTGTTCAAATAAATAGAAATAAATAAATAAAATATAAGATAACAGGTCATGGATTTCAGCACAAAATTCATTCACTCCTTAGGATGAATAGAGTTTCGGCTTTATAGATGATATCAGTTTGTGATAAAAATCCTAAATCTAATTTCTAACCTAAGCCATCAACTGTAAATCACAATTTTAATTCCTTACATAGGTTTATAACCCTCATTTGGTTCTACTTATTAGGTGAACGCTCTCAAGGTCAGTCTAGTGTCGCTTAAAAGTCGTCAATAAATTACAGTCTCACCTTCAAATTTTGTCAACTTGGTCAACTCTTAATGGACTTTGAATAGAAGTAACTTAAGACAATTGTGAAAACACTTGTCAATCAACAAATGACAGTTAAATTATGTAATAAAATAAATGCTTATGGTTGTTCCTGCTGTTGTTGTCTCACATTTATTCTTCTAACTAACAGTAGTGTATGAAGAAAAAAACATAACTTCATCAGATTAATTCCACTCAGAATTGTAAGAAGATATGAGTAAATAGGTGCTTTCAACAACATGTTGATCTTCCGCAGAAAGCATCGTTTCAGTCAACCTGATTCATAAACCTTTGAACTCTTTTATGAGACCATGTGAAAATAATTAATTGCTTTCATTCACATTGTTTTACGATATAATTTTATTATTTATTTATTATTGTTTCCTTGAACACATAAACATTGGTAAGAGGAGGCACCAAATGGATATGCGCCACATAAATCATTCAACCTAAAGGTCTGATCCACAAGTCAGTGAAGCAACGTCAAGAGATGAAGTCATATAGAAGCCAAATACCAATAATTAGTTCTTTCTCTATTTGTTCCCCCAAGATACTAAATCTCATGTGCACCATTGGTTTGGAATCAGGATTTTCCAACTCCCCTAGGTGGATTATCAGTGTCCATCAAGCTGGTTAAAGCGCCGAACATTCACTTTTCGTCCTCTCAATTCTGTAAACAACAGTAATGCTGCGAAAAGGTGGTGAGTAGGACTTTCCTATCATTGGTTGTATGCACGTGGCCATATGAGAGCATTTCGATGGGGGGGGGGAGGTTAACTCTTTCGACCCTCAGCCGTTTCAAGGCATTTAGGGGCATTATATAATTTACAGTTAGATGAAATTGAATTGAATCTAACACAAATTTGTTTGTTGGAGATCTAACTTCCCTAACAAAATTCAAGTTGATTACATTATGATCCCTTTATTTCATCCATCTATTTTTGTTTCTATATAAACTGAATTCCTATGATTCTTAATACTTTTCCGAATTAAAATGAATTTTAATTATCCATAATTCACACACAAATTTCCATTACTTGGATGATTAACCAATTTTTGTATAAGAATTCAGTAAAATTGGTAAATAAATTTGATATGATAGAAAGAAAAGTCAATTTTCGATTGATTTACTCATTATGAGTTTTAGTTCAAGATTAATTCCGTTTTGATTCAATGTAATGATTACTCAATGTAGTATTGGTTTTCCTTTATTGATATACGATATTCTTGTATTCCACTGGTTGAAATCATGAGTCATTCAAAGCTAGACTACCATGGAAAACCTGGAAGCACTAGACTCATTATTTGAACCAGTGAAATTTCTAAAATCTTCACAAAACCCTTTCTTATATTCCATTGACATGAACTATGCTCAGCATATGATTTGTTATATATATGATTTCATCCTAACTATTAATCAAACTGAGTGTACAATTAATATATAAATGAGTGTATTTTCTACTAGAATCGTCGTCATCATCATCGTCGTGTTTTTGGGTTAATAAATCATCACTTATACCAGTCTTTGTGTTCTTAGTTTCGCGTAGTGGGAATTGCAGAGATCCCTCGTCCCGAGTATAAATGATAAGCGTTTCCAACATAACAATCAGCGACGACCAGATATAAAAAGTAGCATTAAAAGAGCCAAGACAATAAGGATTCAAACGACAAGTTATAACAAAATTAATTCAGAATGATAAGTAAAATGTGGAACTAGCTTAGTTCCCATAAAGAGGTTTATGTAATGAATTAGCTTCGTTAATCGATCACCTTGGTAACCGTTATTATATATAAATCTCAACGGTGTTAGAAATCAGAAGGTAATATGTTATAAATACATGTTTAATATTATAATATTGTATTTGCGGAATAGTGAAAAGATAACCAAACTTACTGAAGTTTTACATTATTAGTAGATAGTATTACTTCGAAAAGAAATTGATTTCAAATATTATTGATGTGAACAAAGAGAACAAAATAAGCCATAACAAACAATGGAAGCTAATATTTAGTTTTGTCTTAACAGAACATGTTGCCTGAAATGCCTCAAGAGATATGATGAGGCTAACAAGGGAAATTATGTGCAAAGTGCAATTCAAAGAACAGAAGTTTAATGACGTCTGTTATCTGATGAATTGGTATGATCTAGATCGATTAGGCTTAGACTGAATCGAGAAAATTGATACCTTGGATAGTTTATTAAATAAGGCATGTTCTCATAAGCCTTCCACTGAATCATGAAGCATGAAGCATTTATTATCTAATAATGTAAAATGGAACTGGTCCACTGACTGTCATAAATCTTTTGGCAAGGTAAAGTCATTATTAACGTCAGATCCACTACTTACATATTTTGATCCCTCACTGGAAACTGTTGTTGCTGCAGATGTTTCTGATTATGTTATCGGTGTTGTTATATTCCATAGGTTTCCGGATGGCAAAGAGAAAGCTATTGCACATGCTTCCAGAACGTTGACTTCGGCAGAACGCAAATATAGTCAAGTTGAAAAAGAAGGATTGGCACTAATTTTCTCAGTTAAAATGTTTCACAGAATGCTGAATGATAAAATATTTAACCTCTAGACCACTGAATTGAAATCCAGAGGTGACATATTTAACCTCAGTCAATCTACGATAATGCTCAACAATCCTCCATAGTCCCCCAACACTCGACATCGTTGTATAGAGGTCAACCGTTCGCGTGTCAAACCGAAGGTCCTGGGCTCAGTCCTCGTGTGCGAGGTGATTAAAGCACACAGCAGAAGAATCTCATACTAGGACAGAATAGCCATCTAACATCTCCAGGTTTCTAATAGTGGTCTAACTTAGATCGATTCGTGCCTGACATTATTACCATTTAGCTGTAGATTAATGTCTTTATGATATAAATTAACTGACCGGTGGAAAGGAGTGGACCCTTTTATTGCTATTTCGACGGATGTTTCTTAATTATTACTAAGGTTTTTCTTACTATAAACGTTTCAATGATAAAATATAATGGACTAAATTTCAACCCCGTTTTTTGATCTTAAAATTATATACTACTTACAAGTAGTTACTATTTCATCTTTAAAATATCTGATATGATAAGCGATAATGGTGGAAATTTAAATGCGTTAACGGCTAAAGCTTAGAAAATGGTCATATGAAATATAACTATTATGAACCAATACAATCGACATTCCATAAATGGAATGTATGGAATCGGGTATTTTTGCTTAATGCATATATCATGTTCCACTACGGTTAATGGTTAGAATCAATTACAGAATTTAAAATCACCAATTCACATTTTCAATAATTACAATTTTAAAGGCAACTACAGTCTGAAATTCAACACTCACATAACTATATTATTCTGTTGAACTTACTGAAGCCAATACAAAATTGAATGTTTGTATTGTATTAATAGATGACCCGACCGTTGTTGCTACCTCGACGTGGTGGTCGGGCTTGCTTATCGTGATGAACCAATCGAGCTATACTGGTTGGAACAATCGTTCCTCAAGATCCTAGCATACCAGACAGGTCGGTTGAAGAACGGTAAGACTAGGAAAAGCAAACCCAAGGTCCGAAGACAAAGTCGTACCGATGACTGTACAGAGGTGTGACGGCAGTAAGGTGTTTCCTTCAGATAACCAGCATGACAGCGATGCTGCCTTCCCATGAGTAGGGGTGGGGTTAGAAGAGGTCGACCTTAAAAAATGCACACCTCACATTATCCCACCGATAACCGTCTCCGGCGGTAAGGTCTCAACAGTTACGGGGCTAACATTAAAATTACTCATAAAAAGGTCGTGTGTGACCGAACTCAATCAGTTTTCCGTTGGGCACTACCGTCACGCTCTCAGGTTACTAAGACCAAATCTAATCCAATTTCGTTTTCATGTACTTATAGAAGAACCCTTCTGAGATATGGACAACCGGGAAGTGATAACTTCCCTCATACCTCTAACAGCAATCAAGACCACTGATTAATAGATGATCTGTTGAAACTATGTTCACTCATAGATTTAATTAATTTTCTAAAGTTAAAATGACTAAAATTTATAAAGACACTGATGAGTCCTACATAGGACAAAACATTCAGCATACATTCTCTTACTCATCACAAATCTATTTATTCTATCAAAACAATTGAATTAGGTTATAAAAAAAGAAAATACAATAAAAAATAGATTTATATTTCAGTAGTTGGTTCTTTTTATACAAAATAATAAAATAAACTCTTTTTATTCAACTGATGAATATCTAAAGGGTTAGTGTTTTCTTTTAACTGAATAGTTTATTAATAGTAGATCATTATTCTCAACTGTTTAACATGTAACAAAAATTACTGGTTATCAAGATTCGTTTCTATTTCAGTTTGGAAAGGACAGAAGGTTTTGATGACCTGATCATGATAGTCTTTCAGTTGATCCAACTTTCTTTTGAAAGAGTTCATAGATCTAGCTTTAACCATGTGTTGGGTTAATGAATTCCACTCGTTGATTCAAATATATATGTATATTATTAAAGATCAATTATATTAGTAAAACTATAAATTATATGATTGAACTAAAATACATTAATCGTTTACTTTTTTTTCATTCAGTAATTGACTACAAATTTGAATTACATATAAATTTAAAACACCGAGGGGGACGGTGGAATAAAGGGAAAGAGAGAGAGAGAGTGAGAGTGGGAGGGAGAGAGAGAGGGAGGGAGTAAGGCAAAGGAAACAAATATGTATAATTACAATAATAATAATAATAATAATAATAATAATAATAATAATAATAATCAACAATATGAAGAACTTGAAAAACATACATAATTTTGTGAATTATTATTATCCCAATATTCAAAATTATTACCTCTATATACTACAGCAAATTCTAATTGATAAAATTTAGTTTCTAATGGAATTATTGATAAAATAATTTCAGATTCATTTGTTTCTATCCATTGATATGTATTAGTGTTAGTTACTAAGTGACTTGATTGATCAATACGTATTAATGATGGAGATTCTGTGTAAGTTCTCCAATTATCTAATGTATAACGTAATTTTACTTCTTTTGTTATATCTAAATAATTTGATTGTGTATCATTTATTGTTTTAACTTGTACATTAAATGAATATAAATTTTGTGAATAAAATTGTGATAAACATACTTTTTGTTCTAGAAGACGTTGATTAAAATTAACACATTGGATAGGATTTGGAAATGTTGGTTCCCATTTCTTAAAAAAGAAAAAAAAAGAACACAAAAACAAGTTTAATAGAATGAGAAAATGGCTTTTGTAGATATTATAGTCATTTTAATAATTGAGTTTATCAGTCCATGAAAGTTATTTTATTTACTTATTTATTTATTTAGTTGAACACATACATGATGGTACAAGAGTACGCCAAATACGTATGCGCCACACACAATGAGAATTCGGAGAGAAAAAAAGGTAAGGAGCGTAAAAAAAGAGAACAATAACGAAGAGATTGGTGTAAGGTAGTGTGGTAGTAATGACGGAACACAAAGTTACAATCGGAAGAAATCTTTCAGGTAAGGGAGACACAACCACTTTTTATGAAGAAAGTAAAAGAAGGTTACAGCAGGATCGCCATTGGCTTCTATTCTGAGCCATATCTGATAGCGTCTCTAGCCACTGTGTAGCACCATCTCTCGGACCCCAACCAGGGAGTCGTGAAGGACCAACACAAGCCAGTATTTTGCAGCTTTCTTTCATACCACGACACCATGTCATGCACTGACCACCTCCGCTTCTTCCAACCGGTCCCAGAGTCGGCAAATAATGCACGACGTGGAATTCTCTGGGACGACATTCGGAGAACATGTCCAAGCCACCGAAGTCGGTGTTTCAAGATGGTGACACCAATTGGATTATCGTCTCTGTGCCCGAACACACGATGCCGAACCTCTGCATTACTGACATGGTGTTGCCACTGAATGTCAGCAATCCTTCGGAGACAGAGATGATCGAACACAGAGAGTCGTCTAACGTCCTCAACTCGGAGAGGCCAGGTTTCACAAGCATAGAGCAAAACTGCTCTCACCGACGCGTTGTAGATCCGACCTTTTACAGCCAGACTAACATCACGAAGGCGCCAGAGGTGGCCCAGATTGGCATAAGCCGCTCTGGCTTTCACTATACGTGCATTGATCTCATCACTCACACCCCCACCAGCACTTATGCAGCTACCCAGATACACGAACTTCTTGACTACGTCTATCTGCTCACCATCCAGTGTGAGTACAGGATTGGAATCTTGCCAGTCTTGTAGGAGTACTTTGCACTTCGAAGGTGCAAAGCAAATACCATACCTACGGACACTGATTGCCAACTGATTAAGTGCGGATTGCATGCCTTGGGCATTATCGCACAGTAAGACAGAATCATCCGCATACTCAAGGTCGAGAAGTCTTTCTCCAGGCAACAGATCCACACCACCATTACTTACGTTCATCAGAGCTGTTTCCAGAATGTCATCGATGGGAAAGTTGAAGAGGAATGGTGAGATTGGGCAACCCTGCCTAACCCCACTGCTCGAATAGAACAATGGAGAGAGGTGGTTGTATGCCCTCACTCTGCCTGAGATGTTTGTATATAGGGCTTTTAGGATGTTAATAAACTTCTCAGGCACGCCCCTCTTCAATAAACGATCCCAGAGAACAGTCCTGTCCAACGAATCGAAGACAGCCCTGATGTCAAGAAACACTACGATTGTTGGCCTTTGAAAAGTATGGCGGTGTTCTAACATTTGGCGGAGGGTGAAGATATGATCAATACATCCTCGACCGGAACGAAACCCAGCCTGCTCCTCACGAGTCAATCTTTCTCGGGTTTTGAACAACCTACGAAGTATGACGGAAGCCAATAGCTTGGACGCAATCGGAAGTAGACTTATCCCCCGATAGTTGTTACAGGAACGACGTGAACCCTTTTTAAAGATAGGGACAACTATCGACTCATTCTAGCTCCCAAACCTTTGTAAACAACGTCGTCAATTCCTTAGTCGAAAAGTCACCACCGTCTTTAAAAAGAGCCGGAAGTAAGTCATCTGGGCCAGGTGATTTGTAACGCTTCAAGAGTTGGAGTTCCTTGCGGACTTCCTCCTCATTTGGTGGAACAGTCGTCACCGACCATTTAGGGCGGGACAGTCTGACTGATGTTGCCGGAGCAGCAGGCCAGTTGAACTGCCCTTCGAAAAATTCTTCCCATCGTCCAAGATGTCGGTGGATGTTAGTGATTGGCATCCCGTCATCCTCACAGATTGTTTCGCTCACACCAGACTTCTTGCTGCCAGTGGCTCGGATGAGTTGGAAGAGAATCCGGTAATTACCAGATACAGCTGCTGCTTCCAGCTCATTAGCACTCTCCGACCACCAGGCTTCTCGGTCCTTACGCAAGCTTTGCCCAATTTCCTTACGTAACATCCTTCGTTTGTGGTCAAACTCACGGTCACCCGGAGTAGACCGACGGGCTTCAATGAGTTGTAAGGAGCCTGAAGAAACCCAGTGCTTATAAGCGGGACGTTTCGCAAACCCACAACTGACTGTACCCGCCATTTTCATGGCGTCATGCAATTACAACCAATGCTCATCTATACTTTTCGGTGGAATGGTAGCTAGCCTACAAGCTAGCTCGGTTCAATACTTACTTGCAACAGAAGTTGCAACCAGCTTGCTAACATCAATCCGTTGGTGGCGGTCACTTCGTTGGCCACTAAAAAGTAAGGTAAGATTGGCGCAGACCAAGGCATGGTTAGAGTCCAGATAGGTACTCCAAAAGGAGCGGCAGTCTTGTACACAACCACGCCAGCGGTAGCTGATCGCGATGTGATCAATCTGAGTTCAGGCGTGAGATGCAGAGGGAGGACGCCAGGTGGCACATCGGCGATGACTGTGCCGAAAGTTAGTGCTAGCCAGAAACAGGCTGTGATCTGTGCACAGTTGCTGTAGACGGTCCCCGTGAATAAATGGCGTAGTAAATATTAATATTAATATTAATAATAATGATAACAATAGCGATAGTAATAATAATAATAATAATTTGAATCGTTTGATTGTTAGTTGAAGCAAGAAAAGTAGTTTCCATAAATTTAGGCAGCTCATCATTTGTGTGTGGGCTGTGATACTGCTCGGGTGCCCAGATCGAAGCAGGTGGTTATCTTAGGGGGCCACACCCCGAGCCTTCGACCTGAAGGTCTGATCCACAAGGCAGTGAAGCATCGTAAGGAGATGCATTCCCATGGTAGCCAGTGACCAACGATTGGTTCATACTCCATTTGTTCCTTGAGGATACTGGAGCCCATATGAACCATTGGTTTGGGATCCGGTTAAAGCGCCGGACATTCGCTTTTCGTCCTATCAGTTTCGTAAGTAACACCCCCGCCACGAGAAGGCAGTGAGTAGGACTTCCCTGGCAGAACCTGTATACGCGTGGCCATGTGAGAGCATTTCGAGGGGGAGGGAGAACCCAACCCGCTCTCGGCCATACCAGGGCATTTGGGGGCGTCCATGAAAGTTAGATCATTATAAAATACCTGAAAGCACTAGACAGTCGTTTCATCCTAGTATGGGACTCCTCAGTGATCTAGAGGTTAGGCGTTTGCGCATGACACCGATAAGTCCTTGATTTTAATCGTTCGGGGAGGGATCGTTGATGTGCACTGTTGAAGAGTCCCATATTAGGACGAAATAGCCATTCAATGCTTCCGGGTTTACCATGGCCGTCTAGCTTCAATTGACTCATGAACTCAACTATTAAAATGATATCAAATAAAATTTTTAATCAATGAATAAATGAAAATTTAGTTAAAATATTTAGACATCTAGTATTTCATGATGTAAGATGATAGTTGGAAGTAGATGACAGGAAACACTAGATCTATGTTTCTTGCTATTTGGCACTCATCAGCGAAGTGTAACTGTAATCTTGAGGGAACTGATGCTCCCTGACGGATTCGATTCCATTTCACTCAGTCTCACAGTTAAAGACGTTACCACTGGGCTATCCAGGCCATGACTGACTTCGTGTAGGACTGAGATATATTTACAATTGATTGGTTGACAGGATTTGATATGCACTAAGAAGGACCTGACGCATATGACATTGATCACCACCCAGTGATCAACCAATTGTAAATTTCATGGTATATCAAGGAAGTGGAAAAAATGAAGTCAATCATAAAAGTTAATGTTTTATTCAACTTTCAAGAATATCATGATATTTTTGAATACAGTCTAGAACTATACTGTAAATAAATATGGAATTAATCATCAATAGTGGGCTGCATTCGGTCGTGCACAGACATAATCGCAACACTACGGATCATCGTTGAATAATCAATTTAATGGAACACATCGCCATACAACAACTTCCTTGACTATCAAAATTCATTTGACAGTGTGGACAGGAGAACATTATGGAATACCTATGAAGTACCTGAGAAAATCGTCAACATTATATGGAATTCGTACGACAAACTGTAGTGTAAAGACGTGCATGGAAGACAGCTGACAGATACATTACAATATTACATGCCAAGAAATATCAACCAAGTATTCTACTTTTTTATTTAGAAGCTACTCAGAAATAAAACTTATCAAGGCTGGAATGGGAACATGTTAATCCCTGAAAGGTATCATGTAAGTAAACTTCTTCAGGGTAATAATCGAAATCAAAATCTGTAAAGAGGTATATCATGTTTAACAGTCTGATCAAATCTATACTGTGCTAATTCAATCATATTTGGATGTTGCCTTTATAAGTGGAATAACATAAGTCAGTTAGTTATATGTGAATCATGTGAAAAGTTCACAATGTGAAAACAAACAAATGAAGTGTGTGTGAGTGTGTGTGAATGTCTGTGTAAGTTTGAGTTATTAATAGTTGATATTAGGTAGTAAATTTGTTTTTCTATGAAGGAAAAATAAAAGTGCAAGTTGAAGGTTGAAAAAGTTGTTTCTAAATAACCGATGTGCACGTAAAATGAGAATCATCAAATACACTCACTAAAGACAATGGCGACGGTGGCGCAATTTCGTGGATTGGTTGGAGTTAGACACTAACACCGTTGGATGCCGGCTCAGTGGCCTAATGATTAAGCGCTCGCGCGCGAGACCAATAGGTCCTGAGTTCGAATATCGTGGGGGGTGGGATCGTGGATGCGCACTGCTGTGGAGTCCCATACTAGGACGAAACGGCCGTCCAGTGCTTCCAGG